AAAAAAAAAAAAAAAAAGATAACATCCAAACTTCTTAGCATACTAACTTGGTACTGATGATCTGGGCAACAATATTCTCATTTCTGAGTATTCATCCTTTCTGCTTTTTGCTCCAGGAATGCTAAACTCTGTAGTTCTACAGACAGGCCATGATGTCACTTCATTGCTTTGCACATAATTTGTTCTGTATCACTCTTCCCTCTCTCATCCACTTGGCAAAAAACTCCTACTCATCTTTCATGTCTTCCTGTAAATATTATCTCTTTGGTGAGGCTGTCCTTTAATCCCCTCGTAGATGCAGGTTCTCCTTTGTGATTAGTGTGCATTTTAAAACCACCTTCACTGTCTTCTAATTTTGGCATCATAACTGGGTGTGTATACCCTTCTTCCTGTGTGCTGTTGGAAGGACCATGTTCTTTCATCTTTATATGCCTAGTAAAAAACACATTGCCTGACATATAGTTGATATGTAATATGTTGAGTAAAGGAAAGAACACTTTGTGTTTTGTTCATTGAAAAGAAAATGTAAGATATTCTTCACTGATTTAACATTCGTCTTTTTCTCACCTTTTTTGTTTTGTTTTGTTTTGTTTTGTTTTATATAGGCCCTCAGTTATATTAGGAGTAACCAACCCTTTTTTTGCTAAGACACTGCAGCACTGGCCACATATTATTCGAATAGGAGACCTTAAACCTACAGGTAAAGTATAAATTTGGTGTTCTGTTTTTAGTGTGCAGTGTTGCTGAACGGGTTTCTTTCTTCCTTTCTTTTCATCCTTGATTACTTTTTATGTTGATGGCAGCTTTCTTTGAGACCTTTGGAGAAGAGTATAACTTCCCACTAAAATATGCACGTTCTTATAATATGTATAATCTGTTACGTCCTCCTACCAAAAAAATGTGCTTATAGTGTTATAGACATTGAATGAATTATAGTAAAACGAAGCCTCAAAATGTTAGCTTTATATATATATGCCCAATAAAGCAGAAGTTTCCAGTACTGCTTGAGTAAAACCTTGTAAAAAACTAGAATTACTCCAGACTTGTCACAAAATTCTCAGCTAGGTCTCAAAACAAGTATATGTTACTGTAGCACAGGTTATTGATTTAGTGAGTGGTTGAAAGTGTCTTTCCCACATGGAAAAGACAGCACAGTACCTTGTTCATCATAGGAGTTTAACAAATGTTTAAGTAAGTATATGAATTCTGAGGTTGGAAGTTTTGTTAACCTAGATGACAACTAAATGGAACGTTTATTAAGGACGTGAGTCTTGAGTATGAGAAGACATGAAAAAAATTTTTTAAATCTTAATTTAATCTTGATATTTTATTTTCGTGGTTTGAGCCTAGACTGTTTTATTAATTGTGTTGTAGTAGACTACGGACTATTTTCTCCTTCCATTGGAAGAAGTTTCTCTTACATAACAATGGACATTCATGAATTTTCCACTGAAATAGTTGGGATTATGAAGTTATTTTCTAATAACTTTATAACTACTTTCTTTCTTTCTTTCTTTATTTGTTTGTTTATTTATTTATGAGAAGAGTTTCACTCTGTTTCCCAGCTGGAGTGCAGTGGCGTGATCTCTGCTCTCCCAGGTTTGAGTGTTTCTTCTGCCTCAGCCTCCCAAGTAGCTGGGATTGCTGGCACCTGACGCCATGCCTGGTTAACTTTTGTATTTTTGGTAGAGATGGGGTTTTGCCATGTTGGCCGGGCTGGTCTCAAACTCCTGACCCCAGGTGATCTGCCCACCTTGGTGTCTCAAAATGCTGGGATTACAGGTGTGAGCCACACTCCCAGCCACTACCTTTTTTAAAAATTTTTTGAGACAAAGTCTGGCTCTGTCACCCAGGCTGGAGTGCAGTGGCGTGATCTCAGCTCACTGCAACCTTCGCTTCCTGGGTTCAAGATTCTCCCTCCTCAGCCTCCCGAGTAGCTGGGATTACAGGCAAGTGCCACCACACCTGGCTAATTTTTGTATTTTTAGTAGAGACGGGGTTTTCAGTATGTTGGCTGGGGGGGTTCTCAATCTCTTGACCTCGTGATCCACCCACCTTGGCCTCCTAAAGTGCTGGGATTACAGGCGTGAGCCACCGCGCCTGGCAAGGAGAACATTTTAAATAGTACTATTTACAAATTCTGGACTCGGTATTACACTGAAGTGTTTAGAAGCCTTATGAAATAGAGGAAAGAGCAAAGGGCTTCACCTTGGCAGTCAGAACTGTGTGCTAATACGTTGAATAGCATCTTTAAGCCTCAAATTTTTGGTGTGCTAGGAAGACTAAACACAGTGCCTGATACATGGTACTCTGTAAATGTCATGGTCCCCTACCATTCTATTACTGTTCTGTCTAGAGTATTATTGATAGTTCAGAGAACAACAGTTTCAAGAGTCTTGGGTATGAGGAGATATGATAATTTTTTTTTGAATCTTAGTTTAATCTTGACATTTTCATGGTTTGAACCTAATAATTTAGACTATTCTTTGTAATGTAGTAGACTACTGATTATTTTCTCTTTCCAGTGGAAGAAGTCTCTCTGCTACATGTAGGTAGAGAACTTTTGCACAAAATCATTGGTAGAGCAGCATGAATTGATAAATCTGTTAAATCACCAAACTGTTTTCGAAAGTGGCCCATCAGTTTATATCCTTATCAGCAATGTATGAGGGTTCCTATTTCTTCATATCCTTGCCAACATTTGATGTTGTCATTTTCATTATGGCCATTCTAGAATGTTTGAAATGGTGATTTTAATTTGCTCTTCTCTAATGACTAATGATGGTGAGCACATTTTCATCTATTTCTTATCATTCATGTATCTTCTTTGGTGAAATGTCTGTTTAAATATTTTGCCTTAAAAAAATTTTTTTTTTATAGCAATAGGGTCTTTCTCCGTTGCTCAGGCTGGAGTGCACTGGCATAATCATAGCTCACTGTAACCTTGAATTCCTGGGCTCAAGTGGTCCTTCTGCCTCAGCCTCCCAAGTAGCTGGGAGTACAGGTGCATACCACTGTGCCTGGCTAATTTTTTATTTTTTTCTATAGAGACAGGATCTTGTACTGTTGCTGGTCCTGAACTCCTGTGCTCAAGCAGTCCTCCTGCCTTGCCCTCCCAAAGTGTTGGGATTTCAGGAGTGAGCTACCACACCAGCCTGTTATTTTCCATTTTTTTGATAGTAGCCATCCTAATGGGCATGAGTATTTTATTGTGGGTTTCATTTTCATTTCCCTCATGATTAGTGATATTGAGTATCTTTCTGTTGTTTATTGGCCATTTATATATCTTCTTTGGAGTATCTTTCTATTGTTTATTGGCCATTTATGTATCTTCTCTGGAGAAATGTCTATTCAAGTCTTTTGCCCACTTTTAATAGGGTTGTTTAAATGGGTTTTTTTTTTTTTTTTGGTTTTAGGAATTCCTTATGTATTCTGTTTACTCATCCTTATCAGATACATGCTCTGTGAATATTTTCTTATATTTTGTATTGTCTTTTTGCTCTCTTGATGGTGTCTTTTGATGGACAGTTTATTTGATTGATTATTGTTATTATTTTTAGATGGAGTCTTGCTCTGTCTCCCAGGCTGGTGTGCAGTGGCACAATCTTGGCTTACTGCAACCTTTGCCTCCTGGGTTCAAGCAATTCTCCTGCCTCAGTCTCCACAGTAGCTGGGATTACAGCTGTTCAGCATCACAGTCAACTACATTTTGTATTTTTAGTGGAGATGCGGTTTTACCATGTTGGCTAGGCTGGTCTTGAGCTCCTGACCTTGTGATCTACCCACCTCAGCCTCCCAAAGTGCTGGGGTTACAGGCTGAGCCACCATGCCCAGCCTGTGCACAGAAGTTTATAATTTAATGGTTTTATTTATCTTTTTTTGTTTTCTTCTTTTTTTTATTTTTTTTCTCTTTTGTTTGAAGTCTTATTTATTTTTTCCTTGTATTGCTTGTGTATTTGGTGTCATAGTCATGAAATCTCATGTATCTTTTAATTTATGGGTGGTATACATCTTGGAGCATTTTTCTGCTTGTTGGGTTAAAAACCAGCCAGGCCCACTGCAAATGCTGCACAAGTTATGCAACAAAGAGCCCTGCTCAGGATCCTAGCTTTGAAACTCAAAACAATCTGAGATAGACTGTTAGCAAAGGAAAAAAAGAAATCTGGCAGGGTCAGTAAAATTACAGAAAAAAGCATTTTCTGTAGAACAAACAGGGAAGAATTAACATTTTGCTCTCCTGTGTCCTGAAACTTACCAGAAACATACATTTAGTGTTAACCTTGCAGGAGTATCATTTCTCCTGATATAAAGGGATTGCCTTTTCTGTATTGTACCTAGTTTTAGTGTACCCACATTCTTGGACAGGATGTTCCTCTGTGTCTAATTATGACTGAGATAACAACCTGTCTTAATGGGGCACTCAATCACAATGCATGATGCAGTAGCCAGCTTGTTCTGGTACTTATCAGGTGAATATCAGTTTTGCCCATGCTTTAGTGTCTTCATCTGTGAAATGGGCATCTTAAACAAAACTTTAATTGTGAAGATTAAATGTGATAATTTGTGCAGTGTTCTTGGACCAGAGACAGGCATAGAGAACATCTTCAGTAAATGGTAGCTATTACTGTTCCTACCGTTATCTGCAACTCTTTAAGCAACATGTTTTTCATGCTTCTATATTTAACTTTTTACTTAAAGATCTTTTCTTCTTTGCATGGATAACTTTTTTTTTTTGAGACAGAGTTTCGCTCTTGTTGCCCAGGATGGAGTGCAATGGCACGATCTCGGCCCACCGCAACCTCTGCCTCCCAGGTTCAAGCGATTCTGCTGCCTCAGCCTCCTAAATAGCTGGAATTAGAGGCATGTGCTGCCAGACCCGGCTAATTTTGTATTTTTAGTAGAGATGGGGTTTCTCCATGTTGGTCAGGCTGGTCGCGAACTCCCAACCTGAGGTGATCTGCCCCACTTGGCCTCCCAAAGTGCTGAGATTATAGGCGTGAGCCACCACTCCATCTATAACTTTTTTTTTTTTTTTTTTTTTTAAAGACGGGGTTTCACCGTGTTGGTCAGGCTGGTCTTGAACTCCTGACCTCAGGTGATCCGCCTGCCTTGGCCTCCAAAGTGCTTGGATTACAGGCGTGAGCCACTATGCCTAGCCAAGATGAAAGAAGACTTGACTTTTTATTTATCTTATAAGTTGGCTTAAATATTACCTCCTTTAGGAATCCTCATTAATTTTCTTACTCCTCTTTGGCCAGGACACTTGTCTGTGTCTCCATAGTATCCTGTTCATATTCTATCCTAGCACCTAGTCCTCTGTATTGTCATTTCTCTGTCATATTTTGTTGTTAGACTATGTCTCATTGATGTGAGGAATTAGCTGTTTTGTTCCTGTATTGCCAGTATATTGCATTTACTTATTATTTACTGAATTGATGAAAAAATAAAACTGTGTATCCATGATATTGCTTCTTTAACAAGTATCTTTTTAAAATTATTATTGGAGCAGTTGACAAATTTGGAGTATAGACTATTTTTTAAAATCTCTTTCATTCTTTCCTTTATAGACTGTATTATTTGGCAGCTTCTCTGCAAGATTGAAATTATAATTAACCCTTGAACAACAACAACACAGGGATTAGGAATGCCAGCCTTCCATGTAGCAGAAAATCTATATATACCTTTGACTCCTCTAAAACTTAACTTCTAACAGCCTACTGTTGACCAGAAGCCTTAGCAATAACATGAACAATTGATGACATATATTTTGTATGTTGTATGTATTGTATACTGTATCCTTATAATAAAGTAAGTTAGGAGAAATAAAATGTTACTAAGAAAATCATGAGGAAGATAAAATACATATTGACTATTCATTAAGTGGAAGTGGATCATCATAAAAGTCTTCATCCTCATAGCCTTCACATTGAGTAGGTCGAAGAGGAAGAGGAGGGAATGGTTTTGCCATCTCAGGGGTGGCAGAGGTAGGAAAAAAAATCACAGTTTAAACCCGTGTTGTTCAATGGTCAACTGTATTTCAAAGTAAAAAGTTTATAGAAATAACTGTTTTATCATAGCACATGCTCTTGAAATTTTTTAGCAATATAAGATTGCAAAGGAAAATGTTCTTTGTTCTTATAATCCCACCCCCAGATATACCACAACTAACAGTTTGATCTATGGAACTATTTAAACAAAGGTATTTCATGAATTTAGAGGCTTGAATTATATTATAATCTCCATAATAATATAATCTCTGGATTGTCTTTCAGTTCTTAAGTTCTTTTAACCCTTATAGAGAGAAGAGGGAGGGTGGAGAAAGTCTGTAAAATTAGGTGTATTCATGACACTTTTAAATGTGTATCTTGAGGCATTTTTCTGCCTGTTATAAAGTTTGTTTAGGTGTTAACTTTCTTTGAGCCTAAGACCAGGGCCTGTATATACTACACAAGCTGTTCAACACAGCAGCCTGCTCAGGAGTCCTGTGCATCTGTGGCTCAGGCCTGTGGTTGCTGCACACACCATCGCCACTTGCTGGCAGTGTAAATTTCTATAATGGAAAAGCCAAATTCGAAGAGGCATCAAAAAAAAAAAAAAAAGCCCACAAACCCTTGAAGACTACATGTCATAGTCATTTAAGAATTGCTCTCTATTCCATTTGTACTTAAAGGGTATTTTATTCCTATTCAGCACGTAAATTTTCAGTTTTATGTGTTTGGCATATAGATTTTAAATTACAGGTTGAGTGACAAAAAGGGAAAAATTTAATGATAAATATTAATGAAAGATCAAATATCCATTTTATATAATTGACATGAATTGTTTCTGTACTGTTGTAATAATCCAGTATTCATTTTATCCAGTTTTAAAATATCAAGACTGAACCCTTAACGTATTCATTGATGTTAAGAATGCTTTAATTGTAACATCCTTAAGTAATAAACAGATTATAAATCTGATAAAGTTCCAATTTTGCAATATGTATAATTAGAATAATTATAAAAATCTTTATGCTGCTTCCTTCAGGTGAAATTCCTAAGCAGGTTAAAGTGAAGAAATTGAAGAATCTAAAGACCCTGGATTCTAAACCTGGTATTGACTTTTATTAATTTTTAAATATATATTTATATGATACTTGGGTTTTTCTATTTACCTTCTTTTCTTTGCTCTTAGGAGTTTATACTTCATATAAGCCATATTTAAATAGAGATGAAGAGATCATAAAACAGTTACAGAAGGTAATTAGTTACTCATATTATTAATTTAAATTTCCTTATTCAGGTATGTAATATCTCGTTAAGCAATATGTGAAATAGGATCTCTCCTTTTTTGTTTTGTTTTGTTTTTTGGGAGACAGAGTCTTACTCTGTCTCCTAGGCTGGAGTACAGTGGCATGATCTCAGCTCACTGCAACCTCTGCCTCCTGGGTTCAAGTAATTCTTGTGCCTCAGCCTCCTGAGCAGCTGGAATTACAGGTGTGCACTACCACGCCTGGCTAAGTTTTATATTTTTAGTAGAGATAGGGTTTTGCCATGTTGGCCAGGCTAGTCTCAAACTCCTGGCCTCAAGTGATAGGCCCACCTTGGTCTCCCAAAGTTCTGGGATTATTAGCATAAGCCACTATGCCCAGCCGGGGTATCTTTTTTGACTCAAAGTTTTATGAAAATCAGAAGACTAAGCTAGCAACAGTATGGGCATGAATTTGGGGCTGTAGCTAAACATGAATGTCAATCTTACTAGGAACTTGAGAATTACAGTGAAAAAGCCATAGATTCTACCATGAGGTAACTTAGCATCTAACAATAGAGGATTATTAATCATTAAAAAAAAATACAAATAGTTTAATATAGCAGATATAAAATAAAGATTGTCTTTATTGTGAACTCACTTTTTTTTTTTTGAGACAGAGTTTCACTATTGTCACCCAGGCTGTAGTGCAGTGGAACAATCTCAGCTCACTACAATCTCCGCCTAACTGGGTTCAAGCACTTCTCCTGTCTCAGCCTCCTGAGTAGCTGGGATTTACAGGCACCCGCCACCATGCCTGGCTAATTTTTGTATTTTTTTTTAAAAGAAACAGGGTTTCCCCATGTTGGCCAGGCTGGTCCTGAACTCCTGACCTCAGGTAATCCACCTACTTCAGCCTTTCAAAGTGCTGGGATTACAGGTGTGAGCCACTGTGCCCAGCTGTGAACTCACATTGTTACAGTATGGGATGAACAGTATTCCCTAAGCTAAGGACTCTAATGTTTTACTCTGGTAAAGATTATTTTCACAGGATATTGCACAATGAACTTCACATTAAGTTACTTCAAGGTGAAGTTCTAGTTCTTTAAATATCAAGCATAAATTATATTTATATAGCAGTTGAATGTGATAATTATCCATTGTTTTATATTCCAACACTAGAATATGGATTCTCATTATTTCCTCTTTTAAGGGTGTGCAACAGAAACGTCCTTCTGAGGCTCAAAGTGTTATTCTTCGACGCTATTTTTTGGAACTGACACAAAGTTTCATCATTCCATTAGTAAGTTAATAAATACATTTTTGCATAATTTAATGATTTAGTGAAGGGTGTATAAATGTTTTTCCCACCCTCCAAAACCATATCTTAAGTTGTGTGTTTTGCCAGCCTGGTATATTTGGTGATTAAAAATAAAGCCCTTTGCAAGAGAGCTGGATTATTTGTTTTAGTGTTAGCTGTTCAACTTTGGTAAGTCACTCCCTCTCTCTGACCCTCAATTTTCTTACCTCTGAAATGTGGCTGATTCCACTTTCCTAAGTACCTTTCAGGACTGTTGTGAATTTTAAATGATTTATTTTATATGAAATATTATTTAGTTACTGCATTTTTCACCTTAAAAAAAGATTATCGTAGAGCTGCTTTCTCTGATAGTTACCTTGAATACAATTTGATATAATGTCTGTGAGGCTGTAGCTCCATAATAACAGGGACTATATCTGTCTTGCTTATTATTAATTCACCAGCCTGGCATATGGTAGCTCTCAACTATTTATGGAATAAATGACTAGATGAAGAAGAAATTCAGAAGGGTGTCATATTAAAGTAAAGGCAGTACCATGATATGACCCTAGTCTGGAGACTGCATCATAGAGAAACTTTGTGTAGTTATTAATATAAAGTAATGTATCTATGAACATTATATAGGGCATCCTGGAGATCTTTTCTGTTATATTTTAGAAAGAAATATTCTTTCTTGGTATATGGGTATCAACTTTATTTATTTCATTAAGTCTATTTGTTTGAATAAATAATCTTTACTGTAGTGCTTACAAAGCATGGACTAGGCTTGGCACAGTGGTTCACTGGGCTCAGGCCTGCCACTTTGGGAGGCCAATGTGAAAGGATTGCTTAAGTCCAGGAGTTTGAGACTACGGTAAACTGTGATTGCACCACTGCACTCCATCCTGGGCAACGGCAAGACTCTCTTAAAAAAAAAAGAAAGCATGAGGCTGGGCCTGGTGGCTCACGCTTGTAATCCCAGCACTTTGGGAGGCCAAGGCAGGCGGATCACCTGAGGTCAGGAGATGGAGACCAGCCTGACCAATGTGGTGAAACACTGTCTCTACTAAAAATACAAAATTAGCCAGGTGTGGTGGCACACGCCTATAATCCCAGCTATTTGGGAGGCTGAGGCAGGAGAATCACTTGAACCCAGGAAGCAAAGATTGCAGTGAGCCGAGATTACGCCATTGCACTCCAGCCTGGGCGACAAGAGTGAAACTCCATCTCAAAAAAAAAAAAAAAGTATCGGGCCGGACGCGGTGGCTCACGCCTGTAATCCCAGCACTTTGGGAGGCCGAGGCGGGTGGATCACGAGGTCAAGAGATCGAGACCATCCTGGTCAACACGGTGAAACCCCGTCTCTACTAAAACTACAAAAAAATTAGCTGGGCATGGTGGCGCGTGCCTGTAATCCCAGCTACTCAGGAGGCTGAGGCAGGAGAATTGCCTGAACCCAGGAGGCGGAGGTTGTGGTGAGCCGAGATCGCGCCATTGCACTCCAGCCTGGGTAACAAGAGTGAAACTCCGTCTCAAAAAAAAAAAAAAAAAAAAAGTAATCCCTTGGGCTGGACGCAGTGGTTCCTGCTTATAACGTCAGCACTTTGGGAGACCAAGGCAGGAGGATCACTTGAGCCCAGGAGTTCAAGACCAATCTGGACAACATAGTGGGACCATGTCTCTACAAAAATTTTTTTTAAGTAAGAATAAATTTTTTATAATTTATTTATATTTATTTATTTATTTTGAGGTGGAGTCTCGCTCTGTCGCCCAGGCTGGAGTGCAGTGGTGCGATCTTGGCTCACTGCAACCTCCACCTCCCAGATTCAAGCGATTCTCCTGCCTCAGCCTTCTGAGTAGCTGGGATTACAGGTGTGCACCACCACACGCAGTTTTTGTGTTTTCAGTAGAGATGGTATTTTACCATGTTGGTCAGGCTGGTCTTGAACTCCTGACCTCATGACCTGCCCACTTTGGCCTTCCAAAGTGCTGGGATTACAGGCGTAAGCCACGGCACCTGACTTAAAAATTTTTTTTAATTAGCTGTGCGTGGTGGCTTGTGCCTGTAGTCCCAGCTACATGCTGAGGTGGGAGGATTGCTTGAGCCCAGGAGGCAGTGAGTCCTGATCGCACCGCTACATCCAGCCTGGGTAGCAGAGCAAGACCATATCTCAAAAAAGAAAGAAAAAGGTAGTCCCTTGGATTATCCAAGATTTAGTTGAATTTTTATTTAAAATCTGACTTTCCAAATCAGTCTGAATTTAGCTATATCTGTTGTGGGGAGTTATGGAGTTGTCCATTGAAAGGACATATAATGAAAAACTTAAAAGACCCATTCCTTTTAAGTAGGTCTGTTTAAATATTTTTGAAGACACTCCTTTTATTAACTTTTTTTCTTGGTTTTAGGAAAGATACGTGGCAAGCTTGATGCCTTTGCAGAAAAGTATTTCTCCGTGGAAGGTATGAATATGTTCAAATGCATTCCTATTTGGGTTCTCTAACTGTAGTGAACTTCTGTGAATATATCTACTTCTAATTTCTT